AAATAAAACTGGCATGCAAGCTAGGACTGCCTTGCTTCTGATGATGATGCATGTCCGGGTTGTCTTGCGCGGAAATCCACCGGATGCCCAATTAGCCTCTGTTTAGCAGTTATTCTTGGAAAGCGTGCCGAGCTCCGAAAAGTTTTGATTCTGATTTTGCTGCAACGGAGAGCAGAAAGGGCATAGCAATGTATTTTCACAGATATATGCATGCCTCGATCCTCGTCCCCAATCACGCATACCGAGCATGATGCCGAGGAGTCGAATTGCGCAACTCAATATAGAATGAATGCACATGAAAACACAACAAGACCTAACTCCATCATGGATGATCCGGAGTGTCGGTGACTGGGAATTGAGACACATTCCGTCACTCGGAGTACGAAATGCACCTCGTTTCCATGCCCGGGCTAACTCCTATTCCGAACACGATGCAATATGCATGACTACATGAAATGCAACTAAGATACAATCCTAACATACACAATTATGAAACTGAGATGCCTCGAAATGCGTGCACACGGGCACGCAAACCGAGGCGATGACAGACGCAATGCAATGGCATGGAAATGGCATATAGAATGCAACATGGACTTATACTAACATGAGAGAGCCTCAGCCACACTCACATAAGAGGCCGATGGATGAAAATGAAGTGCCTCGAAATGCGTGCACACGGGCACGCAAACCGAGGCAATGACATATACAATGCAATGGCATGGAAATATGATATGCAAACATGCTAATGGAATTGCAGCACTGAAATGTGGGGGAAAACAGCCCCGGAATGAGGCGAAAACACACCCGATGCATGAAATCTCTCCCGAAATGCAAATTAGGCGCATAGAATGAACTACAGCTATACAAAGCATGCATAATTGGTACATGGAATGAAAAGACAGAAGCAAGGCAGCCTCAAAATAAGAATTTTTCCAGTACAAACCATGGCCAAACAGCAAACAAGGATAGGGCAACAATGGCATGCAAAAATAGGGGCCAAGAGAGGGCAATGAAATAAGTGGTATATGCAAAGCCCAAACTGAAAAATTCCCTTCTACAACATTGAAGAGGGACCAAAAATATGCATATGTACAGAACTGTAAAAACCCCAAAACAGTATACAAATATGCTAGAAATGCAATGCAAAATGAGGCTCAAAGGTGGCTATAACACAAAGTATACAAAATATTCATCAAACAACCAAAGACCCTTAATAAAACATGTTAAGAAGGTCAAAATAAGACTATTTCTAGGCCTGTAAAAAGACCAAAAATAGAAGCATGATAGGCTACCAAAACATGCAAAAATGGGGACCAAAGAGGGGATATAAAGGCAAGTATAGCATGGAGGTCCCAAACAGTGTTGAGCCCTTTTTCAATGTTGAAGAGGGGCTCAAAATAAGCCTATTTTTAGTTCTGTAAAACGCCTAAAAATGGCAGCATAATGGGCTGCCAAAGCATGCAAGAAAATGGCATTCAAGGAGGATATTGAAGCAAGTGCAATATGGAAGGCTCAAACAGGGTTGAGCCCTTAATGAAACAAGAAAATGAACTCAAAAAAATGACCTTTTCAGTTTTGGTCGGAGCTCAAATCAATAAGCATATATGGCTAAGAAATGTTGCAAAAATGAGCTAGAAAAGAGGGAGAGTGGACTTACCCTTGAAGGCCAATGTTTTTGTTGCTTCTTGGACCAACTTTGATGACTCTAAGCTGCTGGAATTCCTCTCCTTGCTGCTGGAATGGAGGGGTGGTGGTAGAGCTTGATGATGATGAAGAAATGAGGTGTAGAACTTGGAAGTTTTTTGAGAAAATGAGAGAGATAGAGGGAGAGTTGTATGTAAAGCTTCCAAGCAATTTTGTTCCAACCCTCAATACAAGTGTTGGCAGCTGGTTATAAGGACCAAGAAAGGGGGAGTAAAGGTCGGGGAAAAGGAGACAAGTTTTCCCCCAAAAAATATCCCCCGGATTGAGATATTTTCTGGGGGATACAGCTATACAGCTGTAAAGTTCAAAGTGTGAGGAGAGAGGCCGGCTGGTTTTTGGACTTTGAGGTGGCCGGCCGGCCAATCCCCCTAGCCGGCCGGCCAAGGGTCAAAAAGGCCAAGTTGCTTTAGTGGCCGGCCACCACAAAAAGTTGGCCTCCCAGGTCTCCTCTTCACAGCCCTGTGGTTCGAATTTGGAAACTCTAAAAAAATGAGAGAGAACAAGCCATTTTTAAGAGGGGTTCAAAAGGGTCAAAAGGAATTTCTGGCCGGCCATAAACTTTTAGAGTCCTCCCATGTGTGTACAACACAAATATGTGGTTTGGGGTTGAAGAAAGTGGCCCCAAGGTGTTCAACATTGGCTCGGAAGTGCGAAAAACGGATGTCGGAGGGCGAAAATGGAATATAACTGGTTGCCAAGATAATTGCTGGCCTCCCACCCTCCAGTGACCTTCCTGGTGATGAAACAGAGGCACCTGCCAAAAATGAACGAAAACCGATGCAAAACGAATGCTCGGGGGCCAAAACACGCAGTTCGGGGTCCCGAAAATGGGCTGCCAAGCACCGAAAGTGGCGTTCGGCCACGAAGTGGGTTTCTCAGACCCCAGTGTCCCTTGAAAGGGAGAAAATAAGATGTATGCCAAAATTTAGAGCAAACGGAGATGGTTAAGCGGTCCCGAACCGAGGCACACGGCCAACGGTCCCGAAAAACCGGAAACCGGACTCCGAAATGGGCAAAATGGCCTATGGCCACAAAATGTAGCCCACGGCCACTAAGAGATGGTCTACAGGACCTCTCTCTCCCCTCAGGAAAAGAAACAGAGAAAATCGAGTCTGGTTCGCAAACCGAGACAAGGCACAGAAGAGGGTTCGGAAATTCGGAGGCAGGGCTCACGGCCGCGACTCTGAGACTTCTGAACGAGCACGATATGCAACGTCACCGAGCGCTCAATCGGTGATGTCTGAGTCTTAAGGTCGGTCAAAAATGGGGTGTCTACACTACCTTTAAAACTTTATTTATTTATTAACAATAATGCAATCTGTAACCCATCAAAGCATATAAAATATCATATTACGAATCACTATTAAACAGTTACTCAAAAATAATATCTCACGGCCAATCAAAATTCGTATATAAATTTACAAAAATTATACCCAAGTAAAATATATGATATAGAACTCTTGCCTTTTTTTTTTTTGAAACAGCCAAAAGGAATTTTATTGATAATGATCAAGCATTATTACATTAACAATTATCAATAAAAAGGAAGGAGCAAAGAGCGAAATATCCCATTTAAAAAAAAAAAAAACAAACAAACAATGGAAGTTGGTAAAATTACATGGCCTTAAGTATAGGCAGGAAGGGTCAGCAGTTTGCTGAGTTAAACTCAAGTGAAAATTTCAATTTTGGCCTCATTTGGTAATTGATTTTTAAAAAAAAAAAATTTATTGAGTTTTTGCAAAATAAATAGGGGGATTTGGTCAAAACCCTCCATAATAAAATTTTAATGCATTAAGGACATTGAAAAGTCTAACAAATATTATTATTATCAAAATATTAAATTTTAAAATAATATAACTTTTGATGTAGATTTCGATTTTTAATAAAATTAATATTTTTAGAATTCTTTTATTAAGATCTATCAAATAGGGTCTATGTTGATTATGAAATTCTTTATAATAAATTTTTTTTTATTATCATTGAAATTGATATAAACAGTAACAGTAACATGCTCCTCTATTTGACAGTAACATGTTATTCTATTTGACAATTACTCTATTTGATAGTAACAGGTTACTACTCTATCTCATAGTAACATGTTGCTTTGGTTTACGGTAACATGTTACTTTGGTTACTAATCTCGTAGTAACATGTTACTTTGGTTTATAGTAACATGTTATTCTGGCAATATTATTTAAGAAAAAAAAAATATATATATTTTACTTTGTCCTTACTCAATTATGTATTTTCTCCTTATGGGGATTATGAAGAAAAATAAATTAGACTGTTATTTTCACCATACAAGAAACTAATGAAAGAGTTTTGATTAAATTTCCAAAAAAAAAAAAAAATTATGTTTAGAAACAACTTTTTTCAATTGTATAGAAAAATATGAATGACAAGGGTATTAACTTATTTTTTTAATAATTTTTTAAACTAAAAAGCCAAGTTCATGGTAAAATTATTTCAATTCTTCTAAGACGTGGTTTGGGATACCTAAAAAAATTTAAAAAGTTAAAAAGTTATTCAAAAAATTTAAAAGTTATCACTATTTAAAAAAATATTAAAAAAATAATTTTATACAAAATTAATTTTCAAACAACTTTGACGTCCCACAGACGGAGTTACTTTTTGGCAAAATTGCACTTATTTAGGTGCACAAATAACACGGTGCTGTTCGGTCGTGGAGGCCCATCATGGGTCACTTTTTAATAATCTGAATTCAATATGTAAAACTCGTCGAGTACTAAATGCCTTTAAAAAATCGTGTTGATTGGATATCACTAACTATATAATCAAATCAGTTAAAATTTATAAAACGGATAGTTTTATAGTTAACAGTTGAAAAAAAATTAATCCAATCAAATAATTATTAATATTCAATCAACATAATTTTTTACAAATATATAATAATTGACGGGCTCCTCGCTGTGACCACCTCCTGTAAGAGGCCTAGACTTTGTTACCCTGCAGCCAGGTTTGCCTGAAGATTCAAGACCAGTATTTAGAACTCTGTGAATTACTCCAATTGAGATTTTGAAATAGACAAGTTTGTCTTTCTGCACACCCTTATTTCAACTCACCATACAGTCAATTCCATTCCAATTTTCTCTTATACACTAATTTATATAATTTTTTAATACATATTTCTTCGTAAAAATTAAAATATTATCCCAAACAACTATTTTCTTTTCAACTTTTTAATCTAAAAAGTCAAAAAATACATTTATTTAAAACATTCCAAACAAACCCTAAGTTATATATCAACAACGTACTATTACTTTTGTTCCATTATAACTGTTAATATAATATTGCCAATTGTATAGCTTTCTCTTTTCTCTTTTTGCTTTCGGTGGTAATGCCCATCATTTGGAATCCAATGTATATTGCTTCTCTCTATAAAGAGAGAGTTGATTTCTCTTGTAATTACATCACATACAATACAGAATATCAATATATCAATCAATCAATACATAATTCATTCTCTCTATTTCTCTATACATCAATTTATCTTACAGTCCTAATTACACCAGGTTGGCTACATAGATGCATTTCCTCCAATCAGCTCCATTGGCAGACATATTCTCAATTAAGTTTAAGAGAGCTTATAATATAATTGGGAAATTTTTTAAGACAAACCTGAGGTGATTTTTCAACTGCAGACTTTAGATCTGCTACAGCTCCCCCCCAATCTTCTATCAAAAGTCTCACTTCACCCCTCTGAAAAACATTATCCCTAGTTAAGTAATCTTTAATTAAACAATTCAGGCAAATGCTTTTGGAAAACTATGGGCAAAAAGAAGCAAAAGATAACCTGCAAAAGATAACCTGAACTAAAGCTTCAACAAGCTCCTCATCAATGTCAAGCACTTCTGTGCAACTACTTACACCATCCTTTCCCCTACCAAGCTTAACCAAGACCTTACACAAACCAAGATGAAGGTGAAAGTTGTGTGCCAGATGATTTGGGTCCAGTGCAAGGGCTGCTTTATAGTCCTCCACTGCCAGACGCAGCTTACCCTTATTTATGTTATCTTCTGCCTGCATTAAATAAAATAACAATTGAGGTTTGAGGATAATAAAGAGGTTACAAAACATCATAACATAGCATGGCAATGACCTTATTAAGCTCCAGAAAAGCTTATTGAACTTACACTTTTAGTCTTCTTGAGTAAATTTTTCAATCCAAAATATGCTTTCTTTAGTTCACTATGTTCTGGGTCCAGACGAAGACCTTTCTGGAAATGCCTGAAGAAGACATTAAAAAATGTCCCCATGTGAACAAAAGGCTACTTTGGGAGAAAGTACAATGAGATACAATTCACAGAATTTCAAAGATCCATATTAATTTGTAGTGTCCAACCAACCTTGAAGCAACATCATGATCAGCTAAATAATAGTAGGCACGACCTCGTAGCAGTAATGCCTCTAGATTGTTCTCATCTTCTTTAAGAATATACCCTGTCTGAGAGATGGCACCTGAATAATCTTTAGCAGCTAACAATAACTTCACCTTAAGGAGTTTGGCCTGAAGCAGAAAAACAAACAAGTTGTCAAATTAATTCTACAGCTTGCATATTATTATAGCTAACTTAGAGAAATCTAAAGTTATAAATATTCATGAAAATGACGATGATCACAATGATAGAATCAATACCCTTGAACATGCAGGAGAAAATACAAGAACAACTTTATCGATATACTCCAATGACTTTGTAAAGTCGCCTGAATCAAAGAGAGTTGTAGCTGTCTCAAGGGCACTCTGAGCCTGTAACAATTGAGAAAGTTCCTTCTCTGCAGCTGAATTTCCAGGTTTCATCTCCAGAAACTTTTTGTAGTTCTTCTCTGAACCCTCGTATCTACATTAGCCAAAAATCGCCTGAATCATATAGTTTTCCAACCAGATATTAAAGGGAGGAGAGGGGGGGTGGAGAGAGAGAGAGAGAGAGAGAGAGAGGAATTCAATACGTTCAAATATTCAGTCAACTAGAAATTCTATGTGAAACAAGTAAACAACAAATGTTCCGTCCCAACACCCCATATGCTTCACCAACCTCACAAAATGGGATTTAGATAACAATTCTATTGAATGGACGAAAATAAACTGGGCATTAATGAGAGAGAAGAATCCGACACATTTCAAGATTTGTAAACTAGAGATTTGATGTGAAATGTACATATATTCCTCCCTTTAAATTCAATCAAGCTCAGAAGCATGGGAGATGGACAAGAGAAATCCTCCAAAGGAAGGAAGCACCACAATTGACAGTGTGGTCCAACCATTACCCTGAATTTTTCAGCAGAGATAAGCTACCTGAGTATCGCTTTTCTGTAACACATGGCTAATACCATGGTCTAATCAGTTTTGCAGCAATCTGACCATAATTACTAAAAGCACATTCAGGGAAGCAGATACTGTCTCACTTTAGGCACATTGAAGGAGTACACTTCAAAACTGCACTACTTAAGCTTCCTTATATTACTTTTCCTGATGGAATAATAAATTTACAATCTAACAACTGATGGATTCATAACGGGGGCCTCCCAGTTTAACAGGATCCAGCTGCTAAGTTTAATACAGTGTGTTGATGGATTTTAAAATAAAATATTTGCACCCTTAGCTTCTTATAGCAATCTAAAAGCAGCAGAAGCCCATATCTTCATGGATCATCCTACAATACTTCTAACAGTGACATATCAACCAACTGTCCCACATCTTATTTTAAAAATTAATGTCAAAATATACAACTGTTCATAAATGCCAGAAGAGTTGAACTTGTTTCTGAGAAACACCAAACTATTTTTTTTATTGCTTATCAGGGGTGCAGAAATTGACACTGTTGAAAAAAATACAAATGAAATTTCTAAATCAAAACCTGCACAACTGACGAAGAATAGATGCACGATGCCAATAAGCCTCTGAAAGTGTTGGATCTGCCTCTATAGCAGCATTTAGATCATCAAGTGCCTCACTATAATGTTTCACCTTTACACTTTGTGAAACTCTCTCAAACAACTCAGCAGCATTACCAGGTTTCCCATCTGCATATCCAAAATACAATAATACATTATTAAATTACAACGGAACTTTAAAAATATTTTCATCTCCATATTATGACTTATGTAATTTTAAGGCACTATATTTTAGTTTAAAATCTCAAGAAACTTATTCAATATGAAGAATAAGTTTAAATATTTCTTCATGGTTCTATAACATGGCCCTAAGATAAAAATAAAAGATTGAATATATACTTAAAAAGCTACTAATCTTTTTATTTTATGTAATTGCAAGCTGAACATCACAAAGGAGGGTAATATCATCATGGGTAAATCAACAGTCTATATACCAAAATTTATTACATTCACCTAAGAAATTGCAACTTGAACTTTCAATTTTCTAGTTAAGAAAAAGCTACAAAAGGCTTACAAAGGACATACATACTGCACCACACAAATAAGCCGATGAATAAAAATAAACATCCAGGTGCATGTGCATGGTTGCCTCTGCAGAAAGGGTTGGAAATGGGGTTTGATTCAACTATCAAGAGAAGAACCATTCCCTTGTGTTTTCAAATTATTAACACAAAAATAATTTGCTCTATATATATGACACAGATGACAACCACAACAGCCAGTTAACCAAACATTAAAATGAATTTAATTAAAAAAATGGAAATTAAGAAATTAAGAAATAAGCTTGCTAGAGAAAATAAAAAGTTAAGATATTTCCCCCATACACATTCCATCAATGCAACACCTAGATACTTGAAAATTTACCCTTCAAAAGAAAAAAAGGAGACATGATCACAAAAGTACATATGATAAACACAAATAACTAACCCACCATGAGATAATTTAAATTACTGTAGTGAATTCGAATGCATAGAATACCTAAATGTTCAAAGAAATGCGTACCATTAAGATTTAGTGGTTGTTTGGAATGTACTATATAAGTGCATTTTTTGGCTTTTGAACTAAAAAAGTAGAGAAAAAAAATATGTATGTTTGGGATAACCTTTTGACTTTTTACGAAAAGATATATAATAAAATATTGTAGTAAAATCAAAATGACCATTTCACCCTTTTGACTTTTAACTTTTTAACTTTTTGGGTAGTTGAATTCAAAGGGCAAAATAATAATTTTGCTCTAGTGGCTTCCCCCACAAGCTACCCTTGAATAGTATAGGATTTTTTACTTTTTTTAACAACTTTTCGACTTTTTTAGTTTATTCCAAAGAAGGCCTTAATTACATTGCAGATATGGCACCTTCGCTTTTAATGATCATCTCACAAGGCAGGCTGTCGCCTTAGCAACAAAATCAAATTAAAAAAAAAAAAAAAAAAAAAAAAAAAAAAAAAAAAAAACAAATCCCTTACCTACAATCGATGATTTATTTGACCAGCTACAAAGGGCACAAGTCTTTTCAAAAAATTGACTTACGGTCTGGATATCACCAATTAAAGGTCAAAGCTAATGATGTTGAGAAAATAGATTTTCGAACCCGGTATGGGCATTACGAATTTTTGGTTATGCCCTTTGGAGTTACCAATGCACCGGCGGCATTTATGGATTTAATGAACCGTGTCTTTAAGCCATACATGGACGAATTTGTTGTGGTATTTATCAATGACATTCTGATTTATTCAAAAAATGCAGAAGCTCACGAAAACCATCTCTGCTTAATTCTTCTGACACTCCGAGATAAGAAATTGTATGCCAAACTGAGGAAATGTGAATTCTGGCGACATGAGGTAGCGTTCTTGGGTAATGTGATAACGAAGGAAGGTGTATCGGTTGATCCACACAAGATTGATTCAATTATAAATTGGCCGACTCCTACCAATGTAACTGAAGTGCATAGTTTCTTGGGATTAGTAGGGTACTACCAGAGGTTTGTAAAAGATTTTTCCAAAATCGCCGTGCCACTTACCCAATTGACTCAAAAAGGAGTTTTATTTGAGTGGTCAGAACAACGGGAATCTGCCTTCCAGGAATTTAAAACAAAGTTGACTACAGCACCGGTTCTAGCACTACCATCTGGTACTGAAGGATTTGTAATTTACAGTGATGCTTCTTATAAGGGATTAGGCTGTGTACTTATGCAAAATGGAAGAGTCATCGCTTACGCTTCCCGACAACTTAAACCCCATGAAAAGAATTATCCCACACATGATCTGGAGCTAGCAGCAGTGGTTTTTGCTTTGAAAATATGGAGGCACTACCTGGGGGGCACTACTTGTGAAGTTTATACTGATCATAAGAGCCTCAAGTACCTTTTTACCCAAAAGGAGTTGAAAATGTGATAGCGACGGTGGTTGGAACTTATTAGGGATTACGATTTGCAGATCCATTACCATCCCGGTAAAGCCAATACAGTTGCAGATGCACTTAGTCGGAAAGGTATGGGAAATTTGGCAAATTTGCATATGGGGCGAAAGGAATTATTATTGGAATTGGAGAAAATGAATGTAGACTTTCTGATGCCTGGACGGGAGGCCATAGTGGTAGCAGTGATGGCCCAACCGACATTAATTAAAGAAATCAAACTGCATCAGATGGAAGACGAATCTTTAGAGAAGATCTGTGACGAGTTGGAAACAAAACCAAAACCCGGATTTGATTTGACAAACTCAATGCTCAAATTTCAAAACCGAATATGTGTTTCCAATGTGTCAAAACTTAAACGAAAATTGATGGAAGAAGCACATGCCTCGAGATTTTCAATGCATCCCAGGAATACCAAGATGTATCGGGACTTAAAGCAAAATTTTTGGTGGCCAAGTATGAAAAAGGAAGTTGCAGACTTCGTCACCAAATGTTTGCAATGTCAACAAGTAAAGGCAAAGCAACAGAGACCGGCAGGGTTGCTGCAACCCCTTCTAATTCCGGAATGGAAGTGGGAGCATTTGACTATGGATTTTGTTGTAGGCTTGCCATGAACTCCTCGGGGTATGAATTCCGTTTGGGTCATTGTAGACCGATTAACTAAATCTGCTCACTTCCTCCCTATGAAAACTCAATACAATGTGGATAAACTTGTTATGATTTATGTGAATGAAATTATGAGACTCCATGGTGTTCTAGTTTCAATAGTATCAGATAGAGATCCGAAGTTTGTATCTAGATTCTGGCAGAGTCTACAAGAAGCAATGGGTATAGAATTAAAGTTTAGCACATCTTTTCATCTTCAAACAGACGGACAATCCGAGAGAACGATACAGACATTAGAGGATATGCTCCGAATGTGTGTTTTTTATTTTCAGGAAAGTTAGGAAACTCATCTACCATTGGTGGAATTTGCATATAATAATAGTTACCATGTGAGCATTGGAATGGCACCCTATGAGGCTCTGTATGGAAGACCATGCCGTTCCCCCGTGTGTTGGGCCGAAGTTGGGGATAAATCGTTGTTAGGGCCTGAAATTGTTAAGCTAACAATTGAAAAGATTAAAATTATTCGGGAAAGATTGCGAACTGCTCAAAGTAGACAAAAGAGTTATGCGGATAATTGACGAAGAGATTTGGAATTTGAAACAGGTAATCATGTTTTTGTAAAAGTTACTCCGATAAAGGGACATCCCAGATTCGGGAAAAAGGGTAAATTAACGCCCCGATATGTTGGTCTATTCCAAGTTTTGGAGAAAATAGGCTCGGTGGCTTACCGAGTTGCTCTTCCACCAAGCATGAGACAAATACATAATGTATTTCATGTATCTATGCTTCGAGGATATCTTCCGAATCCATCTCATGTCATTGATTACCACGAAATCGTTCTGGACGATAAGTTAACCTATGAAGAAAAGCCAATTCGGATTTTGGATCGGCAAGTGAGACAACTACGGAACAGAGTGATCCCGATGGTGAAAATTGAATGGCAGGAACACTACGGAACTGAAGCTACTTGGGAAAAAGAAGAGGAAACGCAACATCAATATCCGGAATTGTTCTTAACCTAACGTAAAACAAGTTTGAGGGACCAAACTTATTTAAGGGGGGGGGAGAGTGTAATAACCCGACCCTCGTGCATGTTTTTTACTATGCTTTCAATCCCTTACTATGTATAATTACATGTCGGATGTACAATTCCATGTGAAAGTAAGTTTAATTGTGTGACTTCCTGTAGACGTCCCCGAACGCCCCGGGAGAAACGAGCTCCCGTTCCGTTCATATTGGGGTCACTACAGCTCAAGACTCTCAAATTTGTCACGGTTCTAAGCCTGAACCAAAGAGTCCAAATCCGGCAAATCGTTTTGAGAAACAGATTTTTGAAAAGAAGTGCCAAACATGGACTGCTTTGCCAGATACAGAGTCGCCACCTAAATGTTTTTTTTTTAATGGGAAATTTAGGAAACCCTGACTCGGTGCCAAAGGCCACGTGTCCGTCATCACCAAAGTTGCCTCGGCTCGGGAACTTGGGTACGATTGGGGAAGGTCACTTCGTGAGCACCCCCGCTCGCCCGATCAAAGATCGGCCTCTACTAACCATGATATCTATTTTTGAAAACATTATGAGTTCTTATTCCGGTTATTAGCCTAGGTTACTATGTGATGCACACGGCATATAAGTATAGACTGGGTCGCCCGAATTGGAACAAAACATTTCATGCTTGTTTATTTGAAAGATGGTTTGCTACTCGCAAGTAGGCTAAAAATGCA